TGTCATTGGTTGCCTGGTAGCTACCACAAAACAGTTTTCCCCTCTGTTCTCGGACATTCTTGTTTCATTCTATCACACTGTGTCTTCCAGTTCAAAGTGTCCGAGACAGAAAGTCTGCAACTATTAGAGCATCTCCTTCTATCTTTATATTCGGGTGTTAAAATTGGCACATGCATTTGAACAGCACTTGACCTTGGGTCCCTGGTTTCCGTGGTAACCAAACCACTAGCTCCTGTAATAGATCACATAATTCTTCAATACTCCCTCTTACCCTCAATTAAAGAGAGTGTTCAAAACCACTGTCTTAAAACCTCACTTTTGTAACAGCTGTCACATAGCTGTAAGTTTCAACATTGTTATCCTCTATAATAGACAACGTTCTGTAATTTGTCTATAAATGTTTTAATCTATAATAAAAAAAATTGTCTATAAAATTTAATGTACCAGTCATTAAAGAAGATATATTAACTTGAAAAAAATGCTCACTTTTGTACCTGTTTTTTCTCAGGAAATAGGAGACCATGACACTTCTGTAGAGAATGCGACTGAAGATTCCAACCATGACCCGCATTTTGAACCAATAGTTTCTCTTCCCGAACAAGAGGTAAAAACATTGGAAGAAGATGAGGAAGAACTTTTCAGAATGTAAGTAATATGTGGTGTAGTACTTGCAGTACCTCTGTTGATAACTCTGTTTGACTTATAGACAAGCATATTTTGGACTAATGTTGACTTTCTACATCTTTAGCTTGGTGCTCTACAATATATGATTCTGAATTTGCCTATGTCTAACCTCCTTTGTCTTAACTGGTTTTTGGTCTTCCAATAATTCTCAATCCTGGCTTTGCTGTGACTCAGTTCTTCAAGAATCATGCATACACATTTTGTATCTCATCTCAATCCCTTGTTGTGGAATACAGTACAGACCACAGGAAGACAATGGTGAATAAATATAACAACTTGTGCTTTCTAGAGAGTCTTTAATATGCTATGGCAACCCAAAATATTTCATGGTCACTCTGGGAATCACGATGAGAGTGTTATTTGAAGAACTAACTTGCATTTAAATGGTATCTTCCATGACTTCTGGTATCTCAAAGTATTTTACACTGATGAAGTACTTTTGAAATGTCAGTAAATGTAGTAGCCATCTTATGCACAGCAGAGTCCCACATAAAACAATGAAATAATGTCTAGATTATTGGTTTTTGTGATGCTGGATGAAGGTTGAATATCTGCCAAAATGCTTGAAGTCCAGTACCAAGGGATTTTTATTTTTTTAAATGCCCCTCTGAGTGTCTGTTTAATGTCTCATCCAAATAAAAGCACTCCTAACTATGTTGTCACATCAGCCTTGATTATGTGCTCAAATAGAGTGGAACTTGAACACACAATCCTCTAACCTAGAGGTGAAAGTGTCATCACTAAGCTACATTTAACATGCAATGGATACATTTTAACTAGGGTACTGTGTGGGGTCCCTCCATTTTTTAAAATCTTTTTTTTTCCACAAGAAGAAAAGCTTTGGTTTAATGTCTGACAGTGTAGCATTTCTTAAGTACCACAGTTAAATGTTACATTACGTGATCAAGTTCTGCCTTGAGTATGCTACTGAACTGAAGTGACACTACATGGAACAGTCAGCCAGGAAGATGGACAGAGCATGGTGTAGGAGTTTGAAGCACTAATAGTGGAAATTCTCTAAGAAAGCATCCTCACGTGAGAAGAATTGCAGAGACTAGGAGGACTGAGGCTTTGGGGTTGGGATGTTTTGAACACCAGAATGAGAATTTTAAATTTGCTGGACCAGGACATAATGTAGATTAGTGGACATTGGGTGAATGGCACTTGTGCAAGTTTGGATGACCTCCAGGTTTATGGAAAAGTAGTCCAGAGAATGTTGGATTAGGATAGTCTGTTGGTTAAAACTAGCATTAACAGGATTTCACCAATAGTTGGACTGTAACAAAGCCAATATTCCAGACTAACAGAAATTTAAGAAGAAATTTTGTTCCCTTAAAGAGGCATTCACCTCTTTCCAAAGTTCAGGTGAAAGGAATCCAAAGCCCTCATGAATGTATTGGGGCAGGTGTCATAAGAGTGTCTGTCGATCCTGTTTTTTTTTTACTTCATTTGACTGTCTAATCAATGAACTGATAAACAGATGAGAATTATTTTTCTGGGAACTGCTGAAAAGACTAATCAAGTTTAAAAACTACATTAAGACTACACAATTTTCCTGTGCCATTGCTGCTGAATTTGTTAACTAATTGCAGAAAGATCATATATTTCACTGAACTTTCTGCAGACCAAATAGGATGGGAATAACCTGCAACTTGAATTGCTATCCCTTTACAGAAGGGGAGAGAGAATGGTCCGTCTAGTATGGTTCATGTGTCATCTTTCTAATGGATGTCTCTTGAGGCAAATAGTTATGCCTGATGCAGATGGCTGTCAGGGATGAATGGAGCATATCTCATGGTATACCAATATCTTCTGTGCTTGGTAGGATTTGTTTCTGCTCGGAAAGCAAACACATAAGTTAATGCAACTTTTGCAATTGTGAACCCATCCATTATGATTGGTACTTTCTAAGTTGCTTATTTCCTGTTTAAGCACAGTGTGACAGCCCTGAATTTGTTTGTGTTAAGAATTCCCCTGATTATTCCTATTCACTGAAGGATTATCTGAAAAATAAACTATAACATAGGGGCTGTATCTTTTGGGTCACTGGCCCATAATGTATTAAAGATGGTCAGAAATAGTTGCCTTGAGGTAGTGTTCGCATTTTTGCCAATGTGCTGTTGGAACAAAAACAATCTTTCCCCCCACCTTTTTATTTGACGGGGCCAAATATCTAACCATTGCTTAAATTATGTATATGTTTTTACGTTAGTTTTTTTAAGTCATTAAATTGTCTTTACCAATAATATATCCTGACCTGAAACATGAATACGTTGTGGAACTTTGGGAATCTTTTGTGCTGGGGACGCTCATCTTCCAAATCCATTTCACTTGATGTTTTTATATTCCTGCACTCCACTCCAGATGAAAAGATAAAATGCTGATTTACTTGACCACTCAGTTCGTATTCCTCTAAACAAGGTATAAATTAGTTCATGGCCTAATCTTGTTTTTGTTTTACTAGGCGTGCAAAGCTCTTTAGATACGCATCAGAAAATGATCCTCCTGAGTGGAAAGAACGAGGAACTGGGGATGTGAAGTTGCTGAAGCATAAGGAAAAGGGAACAATTCGCCTTCTGATGAGGAGAGATAAAACTCTCAAAATCTGTGCAAACCACTATCGTAGGTCTCTTGTTCCTGTATTTTTGCCAAATACTTTGTAGATTTGCCTGCAATAGTTATAGATCCTCTTAGCTTCATCTTTTAGGAACTCTTCTTTCTTTTGGATGAGAACTCTGACTTATACAATCAATCTTTTTGCTTCTGAAGGCCCATCCCAGGTTTTTTTTTTAAAGGGGACCCCTTTTTCTGTGTCAAAACTAGATATTCACTTGAGCAAGTATATTTTTATTTACAACTTGACCGCTATTATCTGGTATTCTACTTTCTCAGATGAGATTCAGTTTTCTCCAAAGTCTAGCAAGAAATTCTCACAAGGTTTTTAATTGTTTTTAAAGACGCATGTGCTCTATAAATATAATGGATGCAATTTTTAGTTCCCTGTGTAGTACAGTAATCACAGCTTTTTTTTGAGGGTGGAATCAAATGCTCAGGAGCCAGTGGAAAGAAAGCAATAACACACTGATAACATTACCAATTGATTTGATACACAATTGTGTCACTGAGGAAACAAATGAAGCTTTCAGTCACAGCGTTTATCTCTGTGGCACCAGTTCTTGGTGCTGTTTGCCTTGCCCTCTGTTACCTTCTAGGGTGTCTTCCCTCTTCTGCCCAGCTAACCCTACACATGTTCATCCAAACACCAGTCTCCACAGGGACTGACTTGCTTTCTCTTGTCTTGCACATAACCTCATTAGTCAGAATCTCTTCTTTGACAAGGGACCTTAGCCATCATATGTCCAAGCTCAGATACCAATCGGTCAATTGTGATGTCAGTTTTTTCTCTGTATGTTCTAAGGTACGATTTGGCAAGCCTCTTGAAACTTTACCTCAGGCACCGGTTGAGAATCCCTGGTGCAAACATGTGGTCAACTCCTGGGTACGCAGGACAGTCCCTGATTTACGTAACCTGATGCACTGTTTTGGATTATCTTTGGAGTAATCAGATGTTTTATTTTATGACTCTGGCTTGCTGCTTCGTTTTCTCATGAAAAAAGCAATCGTGTTTCTCTATTGTTTACACGGTAGAGCTACTGGGTAATCAGAAAATGTGGCTTAATATATCTTGCCATTGGGGATGGCCCAATTATTTTTGCTAACCTGTGCTCTGCAAAATAGAAAGAAGTAAATTGAAACAGTCTTCTAGGATAGTTTAAAGCTGTAGAAGTTAACCTCCCATGTTCTGCCCCTCTTTTCTTTCTGTAATTCCTTCATCTAGCTTCCCACAATAGAGGAATAAAGGACGAAGTAAATGTAAAGTTTCACTTTCTAGCTCACTTTATATTCTCCTTTGCAGAGACTTCTTCATTTCCCTACCAGTTGAAGTAGACTTGCAATATTGGTTATTAAGGTTGAAGTTATTGTTGACTTCTGAGTCCCACACAAGCAACAGAACATGGATTGTAAAAGGTTTTGCATTGGGTGGAGTGGGCCAAATATGCTCTGTCTTGCATACTTGCCTTTATTTGAAAGTTTCCCAGGAGTCTCCCAAACTTTCACTGTGGATCAGTAAGTGCAGTAAGCTACTCGTGCAAGCTTCCAATCTGTAGTTTACTGATTTTGACTATTTTCAGAAACTGTCTGATTGTCCTAGGTAAGGGCAGCATTTTGCCATGATTCCTGTTGCTTTCTACTACTTGGTGACTGTGCTTAAAATGCACATGAGACCATCAAGTGAAAACCAGATTGGCCAAGAAATTAAATAAACAATCAGTGCAACTTGTCTTGATTTGTGTAATGAATGGCTAGAAACAAAGACATCTGTGCCTGTTAGAAGAAGTCACCACCTTGAAAATTAAAGGGAAAGGAACCCATCCCTTGAAGGAATAATAAATTTAGTTTTTTTGTCAGATCTGAGATTTTGAAAATATTGATTTAACTAAAATTGAAGTCTTTGTTTTACATAAATTGTAGCCTATTATTCCAGTATGATTGATTTTTGCATTAAACACATTAACTTATTACTTCATATGTTAGGCAGCTGGCCCAATTAAAGTACATACAGTGCAGTTTGTATGATGAGCAAATGGTACATGTTTAATTTGAGCAAAACACAATTTTGTGGGGCTTTTTTTTCTTCTTTTCAGTTACACCTACAATGGAGCTAAGGCCTAATGTAGGCAGTGACCGGGCATGGGTCTGGAATGCACCTGCTGATTTTGCTGATGAACAACCGAAACCTGAACTTTTGGCAATCCGATTCTTAAATAAAGAAAGTAGGTATTAGATTAGAAGTAATCTTGTCGTGACTTGTAATGTAAACAATGCAAGTTATGCACTTAACCTGGATTAAGTGGCCTAATGTTCCTTCTTACAGTTGCAATATTGTGTTTTAATTTGTTAGTTGTAACCAATTCAGACCATTCAAGTTTAAAATCTGGCTTCACCTAATGGGAGATTGCAGCATTTATTTTTGTTCCTTTTTTTTTAGTTCTTGTTTGTGTGCTTGGAACCATTTAACGTTTTTTGATTTTTCTGTTTTGACAAAAGAACTGTTCAAGTACTATGTCCTCAAGATTGCTGAATATGCTTTGGGCACCTCCTGCCAAAAGATTTTGTGATGTATTCCTGCTGATGAAGTCCACACACAGCACTGATGATTTCACAGGCAGGAATACAGTCCAATGAACAAGTGTTCTTCCAGTGACTTTTTTTTTGCTACTTGGCTCCTTTTTGCATTCTCTCTTCAAACTCCCTTCCCTTTGATCTCGCGTATGATGGAAAATTTCAAATTTGTTTTGACCTACTCACAGTGTTGAAGATCAATTAGTAAATTAAAAATGATGTGTGGCTCGCAAAATTCCATTTCAAAATATATTGAAAATTTGTGCAAATTCTGCCTATGGGAAAATTTTGTAAAACTTGACATTTGCCTATGATTGATTATGAAATTTATTGTGTTAAATCTTTCACAGTAGCACTGGATTCAGTGCCCTTTACTGGTAATAAGTTCAGTCAGAGTCAGTAGACAATTTGAATACAAATCCACTGGATGGCAGTGCAGGAATGAGAAACTTGTAGAATCAAAATGTAAATGTGTAGAATTAAAAAGTCAGGGGAAACAGTAAAAGGCAGCATTTCTTTACTGAACCATTTTAGCACAATAAAAGTCTACATATTTGCCCCTTAAATTATGCATAGATAGGCTTCTGATTCTAGCACTGAAATACTAACCTGGAGGTGGAGAGTTTAAATCCTCTCATGATTGATTATGATGTATTGAACAAATCTGGTAACTCGTGGGCTTGCATTGGAAAAAAAAAACCATGAAAGCATCCAGGTTTTCATACAAGCACGGCTGTGTTCACTAATTTCCTTCAGGAAAGGGAGTCTTTCTTTGCCTGGCCTGAACAACACTTGTTTCCAGATCTAGATTTTGTGGTTCACTGTTGGGCAAGTCGAGGTCTGTAATAAGATACCAGGTTGTGGCTTTCACTACTGAGAACAGGCAATTTCATATTCTTGGTGGTAGCCTTCTGTCTAATAAGGTGATTGTTGTAATCCTGCGCTCAGCTTTGTTGAGCATTACCTCATGTAACTCAAGAAGCTACTCTAGCTGTCTTTGCTGCAAAGGAAGACCTTAGTAGTTAGACAGTCTTTAGTGTTTAGACAGTTACTTAAATTGGCCATAAGGGGATAATCATTGCCCATTTGCACTAATGTCAATCTCAGAATTTCCAGAGAGCATCTGAAGCAGTTAAGTTAAATTCATCACTACATCTGCAATGTGCAAATGAGGAAACACAACCCAAAATACATGAAGATTATTATCGGCTGCAACCTAGTTTCAAAGTCAAAGAATATATAATTCCTGCTGCTCATGCCTTGCGGGTGATAAATATATCTTGACTCTTAATTTCTTCCAAACCATCTGAAATTGCCTTCGAGGAAAAAGCCCTAACCAGAAAATGATCTAGTTATAATACCATTACCTACTTGTCTATTGAAGAAAAAAAATTGAATCTATGTGTTTCTGAAATAGTGCTGAAATTTTGTGAAACGTCTTCCATGAGCACTTTATTGTAGGTTATGAATAGTTTTCTTGCTTAATTTAGTACATGCAGCATATTTAGTACATGTAACAAATCATAAGTTAACCCCCTCCAGTCACAGACTTAGGAGCCAGTGTCAAACACACAGCCCTCAATCATGTACTCCCATCTTATTGAATGTTATGCTGCTCATTGCAGGCAAATGGCACGTGCACACCTGCACTCAAAAAAGTGACGACTGTATCCTAACTTAATACTTTTCCAAAATGTTCCAAGAAGCTGGACCACACTGATTCCTGTGTACATATACACTTCAATCAAATCCAACTGAAATTGGTTTTGATAAACTGACTGGAGAAGGCAGAAGGCTGATATCAGTTTTTTCAAAAACTCCCACTGCAATTAAAACTTAACAATTGCCTTTCAGGAAGTGACCTCTCATCTACTGGCTGAAGATTGTAATTAAGCATGTCCATTAATCCAAGTAGTTCCCATTCTAAAAGTGGCAATGAGATGGGGATAAAATTGCTGCTGAATATCCCTTGCCCACCTATTTTCTGGACTTGAGGGTTGATTAGCTCAGTGCCAGTAGCGTAGGTTCAATTCCTGCACTGGCTGAGATCACCATGAAGGTCCCATCTTCTCAACATTGCCTTTCACCTGAGCCATGGTGACCTTTGCAGTAAATACACCACCAGTCATCTCTCTCTCTTGCTCTCTCTCCCACCAAGTGAGCAGTCCTCTAGGGCCTGCAATTTCTCTTTATTGTACCTATCTCTGGGCCGCCAACCTTGCTGCAGCTAATAAGTAAAGTTTAGCCTGCTATGCGTTATTATGCAAGAATGATTAGTACACATTAAAAAAGCTCTGCTATCAACCTCCTATAACATGAGAAAGAATATAGTTTCTTAAATTACCAGATTGCGATGAGTTTTGATATTGATCAAATTCTAACAGACTTCAGTAACCATGTGTATCCAGGAAACTGACCATGACTCATAGTAATAGAATTGCTGCAGTACATTAAGTAGATATTTACACATGGGAAATGTGTGCCATGCTGTGGGTAGTTGATTTGCTTATGTATTGAGTATATTTTTGTTTCACTGAAAAAACTCTATGTAACTGAAGTATCAATGATTTTCACTTTCCTTGTTAGATGCACAAAAGTTTAAGGCAAAATTTGAAGAATGCAAGGAGAAGATGAAGCTAAAAGGTATTTATTAATTTTGACTTGCATCCTATTCCAAATATAAAACACTTACAAGAAGGGATCTGCTCAATTTGCAGTCTTTAGTAGTTTTACAAAAAATGTGAATTACTAACAAAAATAACTGTTTTGAAACTTAAGTTCCAGTATTGTAAATACACTTTGCTTCCTCCTTTGTGATAATTAAATCCGGTTGTTTGCTGTTTGGATGTATGCGGATATACGTCAGTACAAGTAACGTCAGTTTGGTTATTTTCATTTAGGCACTAGTTAAAATAACCAGAAGGTGACAAATGGCAAAATAAGTTTTGGTTCAGGATTATTTGATGCAGTTTCCAGCAGGAATCTTGGATGTAGCTGGTAGCAGATAGTTTACAAGACAAATTTGATTGGCCATGTTGCTTCAGAATTCAGAATTTATAAATACAAGTCTATTGCGAAAGCTCCTGATCAAATCAAAAAGCAAGTTGTGGAGATTTCCATGTTTAAAGGAGCAATGGAACAGAATTCAGCAAGAAATGAAACAATGTTGGAGTTAGTGGAGGCCTTCACAGCTGCTGAAATTCCTTTTTGGGGAAGAAATGAATAGTCCAAAACTAAAGAAGTACTTCAGTTAACACAACCACAAAATGCTGGATGTTTTCCATGTGTAACCGAACTTTACCAGGATTACTTAACAGAAGAAAATTCTAGTCTGTTAATGTCTATTCTATTCTATTGTCTAGTCTATTATGTCTAATGTCTAGTCTATTAAATCTGCACTGCTGGAATATAATTCCATTTCAGTCATGGCCAAAGAGGCAACAGGTGCACCCAATAACTATATACTTCACATTTTTATTTATAGCTGGAAAAGCAACAAACGGCTCTGGCTTCAAATAGAGACAACTGAGCTTGCGTTTGAATTTTTCAAATGAAACATATTAACAGTAAAAACTGTTGTAAACTGTACTTAGAATTCAGCAAAGTCTCTGCATTTATCTCTAACAGTATGATGTACATGAACAAAGCTTTTCCTGATGTGCTACAAGGAACTGTGCCAAATACAATTCATGTTACCTGCAATACAAACCTTGGCTGTTGATGTCTGGTGCATGGGATTCCCTGATGTTGATATCCTAGATTTTTTTAAAGAACACATTTTAAGCACTGTTCATGCCATAAATTATAATACTGGGAGTCATTCAGCGCTCAGGAACATTGTATCTGCAACAGCGTTGCTTCCACTAGGATTGAGGTGGAATTCATTGCTTACTGCAGTTAGTGACTGTGCAAAGATGTACATTATCCAACAGAAAGTTGTCTAAATCATTCTAGTGCACACAGTCCTTGCTTAAACTCAGATCTCTAAAACATAGTGACATTGAAGACCAAGTGAAATGTGTTGGTTCAAGGATATGGTGCTGCAACAACTGTCAAGTTGCCAAGCAGAAAACTGCTGCAGACAAGTGGTTTAGTCAATTACAGCAAAATTAAAACAATACCATAGAGTATGATCAATTGAAACCATCTCAATTTTAAACAATCTGTTGCCTACATTTGTTTGTAGGCTGTTTGGATTTTTGACCTGAGTCAACCTATCTACGGTTTGCCCCCAATCTAATTTAATGTACCCCAGCAGGATATGGTGTCAGTTAAAACAACTGGTTGATGTAGCATGCTGCCTTTCAACAAATAAAAGCCCATTTTGTGAAACCAGCATAATTTGTTTTTCTAAGATTTTGTAATAATCTATAGACGAAGTATTCCGTAATACGTTATAAAAAAGCTGTGAAATATGAGAATTTTGCTATCTTTTCCCATGACAGGCATGTGAGAACTTTGAATTTTTCCACAATTTGAGTAAATCCCTACTTTAAAAGCAATTCTGTATGAAATTTGAGAAACTAATAATGGAGAATGTTTGTTCAAGTTTTTATTTTGTTTATTTATTCATGGTGTGCAAGTGTCAGTAGCAAGGCCAACATTTATTACTCATCCATATTTTGCCCTGAGAAATTATGCTTTCTTGAACTACTGCAGTCCAGGGGAGTAATGAAATGTTAACTCTGCTTCCTTCAAACAGCTTTGTGCCTTAGATGCTGTATTATTGCTTGATCCATTTGTGCAGTGTACCATGTAAATACCTACTAGCAAGCTCAAAAATACAACTTGCATTGAGAAAATTATCCTTACTTGTATCTTTTGACAGCAGTAAATCAGGCCTCTAATCACGCAAAGAATCATGTTAATGTTTTCAATAGTCCAGTCCAGAGGTTCCCTTATAACTTGACTGCAGAAGAACAAAGGATGCCTAAACTTTTAATAAGATGTGTTGCCTTATGTCCAGTATTTAAATTATAGTTCTATTTGCAAGTGAGGAGTGATTTTCCACTCTTTCTACACCACCGCCCCCCCCCCCCCCCCCCCCCCCCCCCCCCCCCCCCC